GGGCAGGGCACCAGGGGCTGGTGGGGCACTGGGAATGGACCGGGGCAGGGCACCAGGGGCTGGTGGGGCACTGGGAGCAGTGGAAATGGATCGGGGCAGGGCACCAGGGGCTGGTGGGGCACTGGGAGCACTGGGAAGGGACCGGGGCAGGGCACCAGGGGCTGGTGGGGCACCGGAGGGCTGCGGGTCACTGTCCGTGCTGCGGGGCCAGGAGATCGCTGTCCCTGCCCCTGGCCGGTGCCGCGGGGTCCCCGGGCTCCGTGTCCTGAGGCCACGCGTGTCCCCAGGCACGCGCTGGACATCCGGGAGCACTACGAGCGGAAACTGGAGCGCGCCAACAACCTCTACATGGAGCTGAGCGCCCTCATGCTGCAGCTGGAGCTCAAGGAGAAGGAATTGCTCAGGTGGGTGGGCGGCCCCCCCAACGGGACCCCCAAAAACAGCCCCCCCAAATAACACCCCCACACAGCCCCGCCGGCACCCTCTGTGCCCATCCCATGGTCACCCCCGGCCGTGGCCAGCCCTTTGTCCCCGCCCCGGTCATCCCTGAGCCCGTGGCCGCTCCGCCCCGGCCGTGGCCGCTCCCCAGGCCCCGCCTGCCGCGGGCAGGGGCGCGGGTGCCCACGCGTGGCCCGTGGCAGGCGGGAGCAGGCGCTGGAGAAGCGCTACCCCGGGCTCTTCAAGCCGCGGGTGCCGCGGGGGCTCCTGCACGGCAACGCCGTCGAGACCCTCATCAAGAAGCGCAACGTCCCCCAGAAGCTCTCGCCCCACGGCAAGCGGTGAGCGGGGCCGGGGGTCCCCTGGGGGGGCACCTTGGGGCGTTTGGGGTGGGGGGAGAATGGGGGGTGCTGGGGGTTTGGGGGGGGGGCACGGACGTGTGGGTGCAGCAGTTTGGGGGGGTCTGGGGACCTGGGTGTGGGGTCCTTCAGGGGACGGGAGGACGGCGTTCTTGGGGGTGGGGGAGTCTGGGCTCTTTGGGGAGGGGGTGCTCTGGGTGTGCAGATGTTGGGGGATCTGGTTTGGGGTCGTTTAGGGGCCGGGGGGTGCCTGGGTTCCTGAGGGGAGAAATGCCTGGGGACCTGGGAGTGGGGGTTCGGGGTGCTCTGGGGGCGCTCTGCGGACCGGGGTCCCTGCGAGGGACGGCGGCTCCTCGGGGCTGTGGCTGTCCCGGGGTCGCGCTGCCGCGATCCGCACCCACAGCCCGTGCCGTGTCCCTCCCGTGCCCAGCCCCGACATCCTGAAGCCGGAGGTGCTGCTGCCCAAGCTGGACGCGGCCATGGCGCAGGTGGCCCTGCCGGGGTGTCCCAAGGGTCCCCCGTCCCCCGGGCGCAGCCGCCGGGCCAAGGGCCGCCACCGCAAGGCGGGGCCCCGGGGGGGCTGCGCGGAGCCGGGACCCGAGGCCGGGACCCCCCGGGGTCCCCCCGCCACCGCCGCCAGCCCCGACATCCTCGGGGGCACCCTGGAGGCCGCGGGTGCCCCCCCGGCCGCGGTGCCCGATGCGGGACCCGAGGGGGCGACGGGCACCCAAGGGTCCCCCCCGCCGCAGCCCCCCACTCCCGGGGAGCCCGAACGGGAGAGCGGGGCCGGCCGGGGGGGCAAAGGGGGCGCCGGGCAGCACCTCACCCCCGCGGCCCTGCTGTACCGGGCGGCCGTCACCCGCGGGCAGGTGAGACCCCAGACCCCCGCGGCCCTTTGGGGGGGGGCGAGGACACGGGGGGAGACCCCAGGAGCGGGAGGGGGGATGGATTGGATGGATTCCTCCCGGGTCCCGGGCGGGCCAGGACCGGGGCTCCTTCCCGAGGGGCGTCAGCAGGAGCCCCCCACCCCTCCCTGTGCCCCCAGAAACGGGGGGTCTCGTCGGAGGAGGAGGAGGGCGAAGTGGACAGCGAGGTGGAGCTGCCGCTGCGGCAGAGGTGGGTGCGAGCCCCCGCGGGTGCCGGGGGACACGGGAGGGGTCCCGGGGCGCTCGGACCCCCGCGCTCACGCCGCGCCCCTCGCAGGTGGCCGCCGGGGATGAGCAAGCGGCAGTCGCTGTCGACCTTCAGCTCGGAGAACTTCTCGGACGGGGACGGCGACGAGGGCCACACGAGCGAGCCGTCGCACAGTGCCACGCCCGACGTGGGCAGCACCAACACGGACGAGCGCCCCGACGACCGCTCCGAGGACCTGCTGTCCCAGGGCTCCGAGATCCCGCTGGACGCGGCCCCGCCCGAGGGGCCCGGCCGCCGGCTCGGGGGGCTCAGCCCCACCAAGGTGATGCCCCCCGGCCAGGGGCGCCCCCCGGGATGGTCACCGTGGGGTGGGGGGTCCCCCGAGCCCCCCAGATGGGGTCAGCAAGTGGAAGAGGGTCCACAGGGCCCCCCAGATGGGGTCAGCAAGTGGAAGAGGGTCC